AAAAAAAAAAAAAAGAAAATGAAAAGGCAAGCCAAAGATTAAAAGTACTTGCAATGAATATATATTTGGAAAAAAGACTCTTGTCTACAATATAGAAAAGACTCTTACAAGTCAGTAATAAGACAAACTCCCCAATTTAAAAAATGGGCAAAAGGTGGGGCACCTGGGTGGCTCAGTCAGTTAAGCACATGACTTCAGTTCAGGTCACGATCGCGTGGTGAGTTTGAGTCCCGTGTCCAGCTCTGTGCTGACAGTTCAGAGCCTGGAGCCCACTTCGGACGCTGTGTCTTCCTCTCTCTCTGCCCCTCCCTCCCCCCCTCAAAAATAAATAAAACATTAAAAGAAGTTTTTAAAAATGGAGAAAAGGTGTGTAGACACATCACAAAAGACGATAGGTAATGGCAACGCGTACACGACAAGATGCTCAATGCTATCACTGGGCGGACAAATATAAATTAGAAACGCAAATACACCATCACACACAACTAGGATGGATTACATTTCAGAGGAGTGTGGCAGGAGTAGGAAATGGTACAACCACTATTGAGAACTTTTTGGCAATTTCTCATAAAGTTAAAAACACACTGGAGCTTCTGGGTGGCTCAGTCGGTTAAGCGTCCGACTTCGGCTCAGGTCATGATCTCACGGTTCATGAGTTTGAGCCCCGCGTCGGGCTCTGTGCTGACAGCTCAGGGCCTGGAGCCCGCTTGGAGCTGTGTCTCCCTCTCTCTGCCCCTCCCCGACTCACGCTGTGTCTCTCTCTCTCTCTCAAAAATACACATTAAAAAAATAAATAAAAATAAATAAAGTTAAAAACACACTTATAACTCAGAAAGTAAATTCCTAGGCATTCACTGAAGAGAAATAAAGAGGCATTTCCAAATAAATACTTTTACACAAATGCTCATAGCAGTTTTATTCGTAAGAAATCTGGAAACCCAAATTTCTATCAACACGTGGATGAGAACAAATGGTTTGTCCATACAACGGAACACTACTCAGCAGAGAGATACCGAAACACAGAACTACTCGGTTGAGTCCTTAAAACATGCTAAAGCAAAAGAAGTGAAGACACGCGGTGTTATATACTGTTCGGGTCCTTTTAACGTGAAGCCCTACAACAAGCAAAACTAATCCACGCTGACGGAAAGCGGTTACTTGGGACTAGGGTAGGATTAACTGGGAAAGGGCCAGAGGGAACAGTGCCGTGTGATAAAAATGTTATTTTTCTTTATTCTAACGGTGGTTACACAGGTATACGGTTTCTCAAAACTCTGTACGCTTTAAATAGGCGTCGTACTGTATGCAAACTGGGCCTCACCAAAGGTTACTCGAGTGGTCCGGTACTCTCTCTTCTGTACCACGTGAAACATCTCTAGTGATGAGTTTTCCAGAAGATGCAGCGCTGCGTGCCCCTCTTGATCACTTACCCCTGGAGGCTTCTAGCGTTGCTGGAATTTAAGAACTCAAAATCTGCCCTCACAGGCAAAACAAAATTGGTTTATGTCATTTCAAAACCGGTCGTTCTGGCTCACGTCAGAGAAAAGACGTTCAGAGGCAAACAACCGTCAAGTTCTGCGCCGTTAGCTACCGTGCCATGAAGGCTGCCAAAACGGGAGTCCACCGCCTCCCTGTCCTGCAGCGTCCTCTCCAGGTCACTCTCCTTCTCGAGCTGCCACGGTTCTCTCAGTCCCGGCATCACCTCTTCTGTGAAGCTGTCCCAGACCCTCCATGCCCAACTAGTCCCCTCCTTACCTGTGTCCTACACAACCGGGGACTTCTACGTCAGCACTTAACGCTGCGTGTGATCTGTCTTCCCCAGCGGACTGAACGGCGTCATCTGTTTTCCTAGGGTTCGGCACTGGTCCTTCTAAATCACCACATTTTCAAGTAAATGACAAAGTGAGCCAGAAAGCAGGTGGAGAGACCAGAAGCGATGAGGTCAATCATGGAACTGAGACAAAACCTCGTGCAGTGCGCTGGATCAGAGTGGATCAGAGTGGATCAGAAAGATACACAGGCAACCAAGCGAAGACAGCACTCCCCAAAACCAAGTGGACGAGTCAAGGGTGAGCTCTAAAGGCAATAAATATGAGGTGTGCTAGTCTTACACTAGCTGTTGCTTACAACTTCTAAGTACAAGCAGAAGATATCAACAGGGCTGAGAGACAAGATACTTCCTGCAGACCAGTAAATGATGCTGTTACGGAACAAGAACCCAAAATTTCAAACACAGCAGTATAGAAAGGACAAAGCAAGAGAGGTGCCAATCACACACAGATGTGGGGTGTGCTCTTTATTGTCCTGCACCAGATACAGGGACACATAAGTCAGTCAGCTATGGTCACGTCCTTAAGGAGCCAATAGGGTAAGGAGGAAAGAGATAGTAGATAAACAACGTAACTTTGATAGAACAAAGAGCAGTAACAGAAGTGCCCCCAGCAACACAAGCACAGAGGGAGAGGAGCTGGCTGAGCCTGACACGATACCTGAGGAGTCAGGCAGGTGCGGGGCAGGGAGCATTCAAACAAGGACAAAGACGAGGAGCAGCCTGGCTAAGTGGGAGCGTCGACCAGTTAGCGTTGCCACAACACCAATCACGTGGCAGGTGGTTACGCAGTGGATGCAACTTCAGGAAGCAAAAAGGTCTTAGAAAGCAGGAGTGGGAGCTTGGGAAGTATCCTAAGGACAACAGGGAGCCAGTTTGTGGTGGTAAAGAAGAAAGATCTTTCTCAACTTGCCTTTTTAATAGATCAACATTTACTGTGTGATATTCTCTGAAGTATTGAGATTAGATTCAGAATTCTGCCTTAAAAAGGCTTTAACTCGGGAGTGACCTGTAATTGTGCAATAAAATACAGAACCTTCTCTGAGACCTAGCTCCTCCCCCAGCACTGTTCCAGCCCAGAGTCACTTGTGCAGTCTCGTGGCTCTCCGGAGGTCACACATTCCTAGCCGAGGACAGCAGCCCAGCACCGCCGCACAGCAGTAGGGGACAGCCCACTCTGAAAGCAGCCCTGCCTAAGACTTTGGAAAATGCTGACACATCCCAAGTCACATGAACGGAATCATGTGAACTCGTGCCGCTCCCTTCTAGACATCACCCACTGAGTTGGAGAAGCTATTTTATAAGTCAGCTGTACATTCCCCGTGACCTGCAGACTTCTCACCCAAATGTATGGTGGTCTTATTCAAGGGAAGTCCCTCCTGGTGAACACTTTGATTATTTTTAAAGTTTGGGGTCGAGCTGAAATCTTTCCCATACTGACTACATTCATAGAGTTTCTCTTCAGTATGAATTTTCTGGTGTTGAAGGAAGTTTGACCTCTGAATAAAGCCTTTCCCACAATAACTACATACATAGGGCTTCTCTCCAGTATGAATAATCTGATGTAGAAGGAGTTTGGAGCTCTGAATGAAAGCTTTCCCACAGTCCTTACATTCAAAGGGCCTATCCCCAGTGTGGATTTTCTGATGTTCAGTGAGGTGGGCTTTCTGGAGAAAGGCTTTCCCACATTCCTTACATTCATACACTCTCTCTCCAGTGTGGATTTTCTGGTGTCGAATAAGGTACGAACTCAGAAAGAAAGCTTTCCCACATTCATTACATTCATAGAGTTTCTCTCCAGTGTGGATTCTCTGATGCTGAGTAAAGTTTGACGTCTGGCTGAAACGCTTCCCACACTCGTTGCACACATAAGGCCTTTCCCCAGTATGGATTCGCTGATGCTGAATAAGCTTTGAGCTTCGAATGAAGGCTTTCCCACACTCGTTACATTCAAAGGGCCTCTCTCCAGTGTGAATTCTCTGATGCTCAATGAGGTCTGAGCGATGACGGAAAGCCTTCCCACACTCCTTACATTCATACTGTTTCACCTCTGTGTGGATCTGATAATGTCGAATGAGGCTTGAGCTCCTAATGAAGGACTTTCCACATTCGTTACATTCATAGGGTCTCTCTCCTGTGTGAATTCTCTGATGGCGAATAAGCAAGGAGCTCTGACTGAAGCCTTTCCCACACTCCTTACATTCGAAAGGCCTCTCCCGGGTGTGAACTCGCTGGTGCCGAACCAGGTCTGAGCTGTGATGGAAGGCTCTCCCACACTGCACGCATCGGAACGGCTTTCCTCCCACATGTGCCCTCTGGTGCTCAGCGAGTTCTGCGTAGCGAATGAAGTCCTTCCCACACATGTTGCACACATAGAGTCTTTCTCCAGTGTGAGCTCTCTGATGCTCAGCAAGGTGGGAGCTCTGGCTGAAGCTTTTCCCACACTCCTCACACCTGCAAGATTTCTCCCCAGAATGAGCAATCTGATGTCCCACAAGGTCTGAGTTAAATGGGAAGGTCTGGCCGCAAGTCTCACACTGGTGGGCTTCCCGTTCCACAAGCTCTCTCTGGAGGAGGAGGAGGTTTGAGCTCAGAACTGGGCTTTCTCCTGATTTACTGCCCACCCGAGCTGTCTCTCCTGCTTGGATCTTCCAGTGGGTAACTGTCACCTGCCTGAAACCTCCCTCCTGAGGGGGACAGCTCCGCAGGTTCTGCCCTTCTGGGTTTCCTAACAGCTCCCCTAATCCGGGTTCGGGGAGTGTCTGAGACTCAGTGGCAGGGGGCTCCATCACTGTGAGTGTTTCTGACATTGTCTTAGGCAGATTTCCATCCTCAGAAATTCGGGCTCCAGAGTCACCTTCTTTGTCACAAGTTCCTAGGTCAGAATCTGAAATAAAGGAGAAAAGATCATCTTTTCCCTTTATCAACAGACAGGAATCTGCTGGAGCAGTGGACGATAACACATATCCAAAGAGTGGGAGGGAGGAATGTTTCCCCTGCTCACACTCCCCACCCAACATGCGGACATCCCAGCATGCATCTCAGACACCTGCCTCACCCACTTGAGAAGGCTTCTCTGGGGTTCCACCTCCAACACCCAACTCTGGGGACAGACTAATGGGGAGGGATGTGGCTTGGATCCATTAAAAAATTAAGACACATTTCCAAAGAAACAAATGTATCGACCTTGCCACCCCTTCACTGTCCTCCCTTTCCTCTGTACCCAGCTTAGATCACGTGGTCTATGGTGCCGTGTTTATCTTTGGTCATATTTTATAACCATCTTCTTACATATTAGTCCTAACTCTCCCTGCCCCTCCTCTACCACGCTTTCGTGGGAAAATCCCGACGTGGGTTAAATTCCACTTGCTTCCTGTTCTGCATCTGCATCTACACCAACTGAGCTCTCTGTACATTTACAACCCCTTGCCTACCAGGGCCCTGAGAGCCACCAGCAATCTCTACTTTCCTCATTCTCCTACAAGACCACCCCTTTTGTCCTCTCTTCTCAAATGTCCAATGCCCCCCTCCTCCCGCTCAGCTGATGCCCTTGCTTATTTCAGTAAGACAGAAGCAATGAGAGGAGAATGTCAACTTTCTCCTACTGCATTTACCAGCCTACCTGTCTATACCCACATCAGGCCCTCCCTTCTTATATGGTCACGCTGCCCTTGATCCTGGGCACTACCTGGGCACTAAAACCCACCCCTCTCATCCACTCAATGACACCAAGCCTCCCCTGCACAAGTCTAGAGCTGGAATGTTCACAGCAGCACCATTCATAACCTCCAAAATAACCAACAGAGAGATGGATAGACTGAGGAGTACTCCCACAAGGGAATAATACGCAGCAATGGAAGAAACCTGCTAAATACAAAAGCAAAGATGAATCTCAAGACGCAATGTTCAGCAGAAGGAGCTCATCACAAGAGAGTTCGTACTGTAGGGTTCTGTTTACATCAAGTTAAAAAAAAACAACAGACAAAAGTGATCCGTGTGGGAGAACTAAGACCCTGATGACCTTTAGGGAGAAGGTGAGAACTGGAAGGGGACGCAGGGGCACAGGGTGCTGATGGCCTACATGGAGCTCTGCGTCCCGCTGGTCTGTTGCTGTGGGAAAGCTTGTGCAGTCAGGGGTGCCAGGGTGCCATGCCCACTCCCATCCCCAGCTCACACTGGGGACCAACTGTAGGCAGGACTCTGCCTCCCCACAAGGTCACGAGCCTCCCTTTGAAGGCCCACTCTTAGTTGTCCATCACCTGTGACAATGCACCACAAACACAGCACAAGACGGCACATCTGACATCTCACACCTCTGAAGGTCAGAGCGCAGCCCAGAGTGACTGAGACCCCGGTTCAGGGCCACACAAGGTGTCAGCCAGGCTGAGGTCACATCTCGAAGTGCTGGGAAACCTGTTTCCAAACTCATTCAGATGCCAGTAGAAATCAGTTCCTTACAACCACAGGACTTTCCCTGAGTCCTTGCCAACTGTCAGCTGGAAGCTGCTGTCAGCCCCCAGGGACACCTGAATCTTTCAGGCAGGAACAGTGCATAGAACCCCTGACTTCTTTTCTGCCACCAGCTGTAGAAAACTACTTTCCAAGGGCATGCATGACTAGGTCAGTCCACCTTGAGAGCCTCCCCACCTTACACCAGCTGACTCAGGACCTTAAATACAACCGCAAAATCCCTCCAAGGCAGCTGGGAGGAGGTGTGTGTACCTTAGGGGCCAGGGATCTTGGATGGCCGTCTCAGATGCCTACCACACCACAGCCAATGCTTGGCCAATCACAGGAACCCAGAGTGTGTGTCCTTGTCTCCATCTGGGGCACCTGAAGTGTGGTCCCAACCCCACAGCTCCACTGGGAATGGCCGCAGCCTCAGTGTCAACCCCACCGCCTGATCCAGCCCTTCTCACGGATGTATCACCTGAGAACTCTACAGAGTAAGTCCACTTCCAGGGAGCTCCATCCAAGGTGACCCCAAACAATCACTTCTTGTCCCAAGTTTGCACCAGTGGGAAGCAGACCTTGCTGCGCAAACCTGTGAAGGGATGCCCTCCAGACCCATTTTCAACGTGGCCATCAAGGACAAGGACCCGCCTCTGAGGGCGAAGCTGGGGGCAGGGTGGAACAGGAGCAGGAGGAGAGTGAGCGACCAGGCAACACGTGTTCTCTGGCCCAGGAAGGGCGTCCTTTCAACACGATTTTCTCTTTGATGCGAACCGCAACTTGTACAAAGCGCACACATCTCGACGAACTCCCTGTGACACCTGTTTAACAACACCAGGCCGACACAGAACATTTCTGTCTTCCCAAAGGCTCTCCCTCCAAGGGCAGCCACTTCTGTAAGTAAAGGAGAACTCTGCCCATTTAATGGCTCAGTCAGCAGAGCCTGCAACTCTTGACCTTGGGCACGTGAGTTCAAGCCTGATGCTGGGCACAGAGTTTACTTAAAAATGAAAAGATACAAACACGACATTTCATTTAAATGGAATCACACGTGTTTGTGTCTGCTTTTTATTCGACACACACCCATTTTTTTGAGTTATAACTCACAATCTTAAACATGTGTTATTTTGAGAAACAGCACAAGAGTGCGCATGCGCACAAGTTGGGGAGGCGAGAGAAGCCCAAGCGGGCTCTTTGCTGTCAGCGCAGGGCCTGATGCAGGGTTCGATCCCACGAACCATGAAATCATGACTGAGGGGAAATCCAGAGTTGGACACTTAACTGACTGGGCCACCTATGCACCCATAAACTCACCATCCTGAAGTGCACAAGCAAGTGTTTTTTAGAATATTCCTCAGATTGCAAAACCACCACCACTGTCTACTTCCAGAACATTTCCATCGCTCCCCCAGAAACGTATCTGCTTCGGCTCAGTACCACGCCCGCGAAAGTCATCACCACGGCAGGCAACGACAGCTCACGCTCTCCAGTGACACGCAGCATACCGCTGCACGAACAGGTCACCATTCACTTCTCCACTTCTCACGAACGCCTCAGGTGTCTGTGGTCTGGACGACAATTAAAGCTGCGGTAAACACTCCCGTAGATGCAGGTCGCTTCTGCCGGGTATACACCCAGGAGTGGGACTGCTGGCTCACGGGTCCTAGAACTGCTTCGGTGGCCGCCTGTTCAGGACACGTTTGCAGATTCCATTGGGAACCCGTGCAGGCGTAGCATTCAGGGAGGCCAGGACTCGTGTGAGTTTTGAGTACAAACGACCGCACTGGCGCCTGGTGAAGAAAGCCACGCCCGCCCATCTGGGCCAGAGGAAGTGACAGGTGTGTGGGACAAAGAGCAGTGGGGGAGAGGGTAAGCTATGGCCGACCGAAGACTGCCCAGCGTCCCTGCTTCCCACCTAACATCTGAGCGGGCACGCGGCCGCCCAGCCAACGACTGCACTCAGTAGAGCCCCGAGATCAGGTTCCAGCCAATGACACGGGAAGGGAACGGATGTGTGCGGGGTCCCTACCTCCACCCATGGTGACATGTGGATGTGGCAAAGCAGCCAGGCTCCCAGAGGCCTTGAGGGCCAGAGCCGCCTAGGTAGGTGAAACGGAACGAGAAGTCAAGTTTTTTGAATCTCTGTTATGGCACCTTGAATAATGCCTAAGTAACGCTAATAAACAACCTGAACTCAGACGCGGTGCTCCCGATGATGAAAAAGAAACTGAGCCCACATGCCAGTAACCGGCGCTGAGGACAAGGAGCTGAGCACAAGTCTGTGTCAGGCACTATGTCTGCGTGAGGTCTGCCAACACGGTTCCCCGGAGCAGCGCCGCTCGGCGCAGCGCGGACCTGGGCCACGCGAGGCCGGCCTGCTGGCGCTCACTGACCGTGTTCTCCTGAGCCAACTCACTAACATGATTTAAAAATATCTTGCTCCTGCTTATAAAAATTACTTTCAACTAGTTAGTTTTTAAAGGTATGAGATAAATTATGCCAACTGAGAAAACCGAGACAATGCAAATACTGAAAACAGAAAAATAAAATGACCTTTAAACCTAAGATTACCAGTTAGCATTTTCTCTCTGGTATTTTTTCTGCACCAGTATTTTTATGAAATCAGGACCATATGGCTCAGTTTTACATCCTGTTCTACTTTTGCATCCTTTTAATTCTTAGCCACTGCAAACATAAGATACACACTGTAAGAGTATTTCAAATAATAAAGTGTAGACGACATAGACACAGTAAAACCCCCCACCAATTCAACAGACTGCCCCCGTTAGCTGTTCTGCTTATACGCATTCGCTCACACTTTGCTTGCACAAAGGCCGTGCACTTGTGCAAAAACATATCCACTTACTCAGGCACACACGATTTTCAAAAATAAGAACGGAATCACACCACATTCACCATCTGCAACCGTCCCATTTACAACATATCCTGCGACGCTCCAGTCCATCCACACAGATGCCACCTCGTTCTCTGAAGGGTTTCACCACCGTAGGTAGTGACTGCATCCCTATTCGGATCAGACACGAAAGGCACATCCGTCCCCGTGCCCCCGGGGTGCCAAGCTGCGCCCCTGGTGTCCCGAGGAAGCGCGTTCCCTGAGGTATTCTGCCCACCTGCCCGGGGCTGTCTGCCCCCCAGAGATGGAGGGAGTCAGCAGGATCCGAGGGCTGGGGAAGAGCAGGCGGCTCGCTCGGCCCGGCCGGCCCCTCCCCTCTGAGCCGCCAGGGCTTCCCGGCAGAGGGCGCCACAGTCTGACTGTTGCTCTGGCCCAGCCTCTGCCAGTGGGAAGGCGACCGTGGGCTCAAATGCCTCATTGGTTCAGAGCTCAGAAGGGGAGGAG